GTGAAAACAGTCGCCGCCATATATCGCGTAATCACGTTTGGTCGATTGGATATTTCGCATTCGCAATGCATTTCGAGCGTGGAGCAAAAAGAGCACGACGGAGCTTCGATTCCTGGTGCACGGAGGCGTGCAGTCATCAAGTACCGCGTAAATTAGCTAGGGATACGCTCTCCGCGCGCTATATTTCAAATGCATTCCATTTGTTTCGACTCTTTAACTTCAATTACTCGGCGCCGTGTTAATAAACTGCCGCAGGAGCTCTTCGTACCGCTGGGAAAGTACGTTTCTTAAAACGCAATGAAACATGACGTTTTAAGCTCTCGCGTTCATTGTAGCCATTGTACTCTCGAGCACCTTCCAATTGGCAATGGCGAATCCGGTAATAGAGGGCGAAAATTCACCTCCTTCTCCCACAACCCGTCCCCCTCCCGATAACCTTACTGCTCGCTGGTATCGGATTGACGGATGCGAGCTTTCCTACGTGTAAGAATAGCCGTATCTCTAGGCCAGAAGCCCGAGCGATAGATGAGAAATTGCCATTGGTGAGGTCGTGCGCGCGTCGCTTAGAATCCCGAAAAATCGAGTTTATGAGCAGCACGGGGATAAGGTCGAAGTCACTCATCTCCTCGGCTGCCGTTCCCCTCGCTCGTTTTAGCGCGCTCGAGCGCGCGTCGATAAGCGATTTTCGAAGCTCCGATGCACGCTGCCTTGTCACTTCCGGTTCCGAGCCCCTCCGATACAATCCATCAGCTCGCCCTCGTTCTCTCCTCGTGCCCTACCCCCGTCCCTCCCCGCCCCCAACCCTCTTCGACCGCCCGTCCGTCCGTCCGTCCGTCCCACCCCGTACGTTACCGCGCCGACGGACGCTTCCCGCTCGGACACAGGAGGAAGAGAGGACGACACGACGCGGTTCCCACGAAATGACAGCGGGTCACGAGACATTCGCAGTTCTCCCTCCTCCTATCCTCCCACGGCGCACCTAGGCGCATTAGATAATTACTGTATGCGCGACGCTTCTTTCACGTGCCCCTTTTATCCAGTCTTCCTTTGTCTTTGCGCATTGACGGCAACGTGCTTTCCTACGGCGCTCCGACTGGCTCTGCCTGCCGTCCGGGCGATCGATCTCGAAAAATATCGTCGTCGCTGCTTGCTTGCTTTTCATTACTTCACACTTTTACCGCGGCGAAAATGAAACGAAGCTTTCTACCCGCCCCGCCCCACCTCACTCCACCCCGCCCTACTACGCAATCGCTACCGCCACCGTCACCGCTACATTACTACATTACTACACTTATCTACATTCGCGCACCGCATTATGTTATCGAGGATGACTTTGCTTTTCTAATTATTCCTCGTCACTAATTCAAGGGACTTTTACATATTGGACCCTATGTGGCTTAGGCCAAGGGCCCAAGGGCATGCATAGGCACTTTACAGTCTACTTTCCGAGTAGACATTCTTCGAAACTCCCTAGGAATGGTATGTATGCACACGAGTACATGAAAATTGACGGCATCGTATGCTATCTTACGCATTAACATCGAAGCTTCGCCTTAGAGTCTGTTTTTCCTTCTCCTCGCGGGACACTCACTCCCCTCCTCTCCGTCGTCTTACAAGGCGAAAGATTCGTTTTCCTAATAATTAATTGGTCGATTTATCTCAGGAGGACAATATATTTCGCCATGTTTGGGAGGAGGAGTACGATGAGGGGAATGAGTGGGAGGGAATTGATAAAGGGGATAGGGGGATAGGGGGATAGGGGGATGGAGGGGGTGGGGAGGGAGGAGGAGAGAAGGAGA